TAAAATCGAAAGCCACTTTTCACTTGCTCGATTCCAATTGAATTCGACAAGCTATTCGCCAAAAACGAAGTTACCGTGAAATCAAAAACCACTTTTCAGTCGTTCGATTCCAATCGAGTTAGACTAGCCATTCTCCAAAAATGAACAAACCCGAAGATAACTTGAAATCAAAAACCACTTTTCAATCATTCGATTCCAATCGAATTAGACTAGAAATTTTCCAAAGATGAACAAACCAGAAGTTATCAAGAAATCAAAAGCCACATTTCTTGGCTCGATTCCAATCCAAATAGACTAGCAATTCGCCAAAAATGAACAAACCCGAAATTATCATGAAATAAAAGCCACTTTACATTGGCTCGATTCGAATCGAATTAGACTAGCAATTCGCGAAAACGAACAAACCCAAAGATATCAAGAAATCAGAAGCCACTTTTCATTTGCTCGATTCCAATCGAATTAGACTCGCAATTCGCCAAAATGGATAAACCAAAATTTATCATGAAATCAAAACCCACTTTTCATTCGCTCCATTCCAATCAAATTAGACTAGCAATTCCCCAAAAATGAACAAACGCGAAGTAATCATGAAATCGAAAACCACGTTTCATTGGCTCGATTCCAATCCGATTGGACTAGCAAGTCGCTAAAAGCGAATAAACCTGAAGTTATCAAGAAATCGAAAACCACATTGCATTGGCTCGATTCCAATCGAATTAGACTAGCAATTCGCCAAAAACGAACAAACTCGAAGTTATCATAAAATCCAAAACCACTTTTCGTTGGCTCGATTCCAATCGAATTAGACTAGGAATTCGCCAAAAACGAACAATCCCGAAGTTATCTTGAAATCAAAAGCCACCTTTCATTGGCTCGATTCGAATTGAATTAGACACGCAATTCGCCAAAACGAACAAACCCGAAGTTATCATGAAATCAAAACCCACTTTTCATTCGTTCGATTCCAATCGAATTAGACTAGCAATTTGCAAAAAATGAACAGACCCGAAGTTATTAAGAAATCAAAAGCCACTTTTCATTGGCTCAATTCCAATTGAATTAGACTAGTAGTTCGCCAAAATGGATAAACCCGAAGTTATCAAGAAATCAAAACCAACTTTTCATTGGCTCGATTCCAATCGAATTAAACTAGCAATTCGCCAAAAACGAACAAACCCAAAGTCATCATTAAATCGAAAATCACTTTTCATTGGCTCGATTCCAATCGAATTAGAATAGCAATTCGTGAAAACAGACAAACCCGAAGTTATCATGAAATTGAAAGCCAGTTTTTATAGACTCGATTCCAATCGAATTAGACTAGCAATTCGCCGAAAATGAACAAACTTGAAGTTATCATGAATTCAAAAACCACATTTCGTTGGCTTGATTGCAATTGAATTAGACTAGCAATTCGCCAAAAACGAACATACCCGAAGTGATCATGAAATCGAAAACCACTTTTCATTGGCTGGATTCCAATCGAATTAGACTACCGATTCGCCAAAAACGAACAAACCCGAATTTATGATGAAATCAAAAACCACTTTTCATTGGCTCGATTCCAATTGAATTAGACTAGCAATTCATAAAAAATGAACAAAGCCGAAGTTATCATGAAATCAAAAGCCACTTTTCACTAGCTCGATTCCAATTGAATTAGACTAGCAATTCGCTAAAAACGATCAAACCCGAAGTTATTTGTTATCATGAAATCGAAAACCATATTTCATTGACTCGATTCCATTCGAATTAGATTACCAATTCACCAAAAATGAACAAACTCGAAGTTATCATGAAATCAAAAGCCACTTTCACTTGCTCGATTCCAATCGAATTAGACTAGCTATTCGCCAAAAACGAACAAACACGAAGTTATCTGAAAGCAAAAAACTACTTTTCATTCGTTCGATTCCAATCGAATTAGACTAGCCATTCTCCCGAAACGAACAAACCCGAAGTTATCCTGAAACCAAAAACCACTTTTCAGTTGTTCGATTCCAATCGAATTAGACTAGAAATTTTCCAAAGACGACCAAATCTGAAGTTATCAAGAAATCAAAAGCCACATTTCATTAGCTCGATTCCATTCCATTCCAATTAGATTAGCAATTCGCCAAAAATGAACAAACTCGAAGTTATCATAAAATCAAAAGCCACTTTTCATTGGCTCGATTCGAATCGAATTAGACTAGCAATTCGCGAAAATGAACAAGCCCGAAGTTATCAAGAAATCAAAAGCCACATTTTATTTGCTTGATTCCAATCGGATTAGACTAGCAATTCGCCAAAATGGATAAACCCGAAGTTATCATGAAATCAAAACCCACTTTTCATTCTCTCCATTCCGATTGAGAATTAGACTAGCAATTCGCCAAAAATGAACAAACCCGAAGTTATCATGTAATCAAAACCCACTTTTCTTTTGTTCGATTCCAATCGAATTAGACTAGCCATTCGCCAAAAATGAACAAACCCGAAGTTATCATGATATCAAAAATCACTTTTCATTCGTTCGATTCCAATCGAATTAGACTACAAATTCGCTAAAAATGAACAAATCCAAAGTTATCATGAAATCGAAAACCACATTTCATTTGCTCGATTCCTATCGAATTAGACTAGCTATTCATGAAAAAATGAACAAACCCGGAATTATCATGAAATTGAAAGCCACATTTCATTGGCTCGATTACAATCCAATTAGACTAGCAATTCACTAAAAAAGAACAAACCCGAAGTTATCATTAAATCAAAAGCCACCTTTCGTTGGCTCGATTCGAATTGATTTAGACTAGCAATTTGCCAAAACGAACAAACCCGAAGTTATCATGAAATAAAAACGCACTTTTCATTCGTTTGATTCCAATCGAATTAGACTAGCGATTTGCAAAAAATGAACAAACCCGAAGTTATTATGAAATCGAAAAAAACTTTTCATTGGCTTGATTCCAATCGAATTAGACTAGCAATTTGCCAAAAACTAACAAACCCCGAAGTTATCATGAAATCAAACGCCACTTTTGACTGGCTCAATTCCAATCGAATTAGACTAGCAATTCATCAAAAATGAATAACACGAAGTTATCATGAAATCAAAAACCACATTTCATGGCTCGATTCCAATCGAATTAGACTAGCCACTTGCCAAAAATAGGTAAACCCGAAGTTATCATGAAATCAAAACCTACTTTTCATTAGTTTGGTTCCAATCGAATTAGACTAGAAATTTTCAAAAAACGAATAAACTTGAAGTTATCGAGAAATTGAAAGCCACATTTCATTTGCTTGATTGCAATCGAATTAGACTAGCAATTCAATAAAAACGAACAAACCCGAAGTCATATTGAAATCAAAACCCACTTTTCATTAGCTCGATTCGAATCGAATTAGATTACCAATTCGCCAAAATGAACAAACCCGAAGTTTTCATGAAATCAAAAACCACATTTCATTCATTCGATTCCAATCGAATTAGACTCGCAATTTGCCAAAAATGAACAAACCCGAAGTTATCCAGAAATCAAAAGCCACTTTTCATTGGCTCGATTCCAATCGGATTAGACTAGCAATTTGCCAAAACGAATAAACCCGAAGTTTTCATGAAATCAAAACCCACTTTTCATTTGCTCCATTCTAATCAAATTGGACTAGCAATTCGCTAAAAATGAACAAACATAAAGTTATCACGAAATCGAAAACCACTTTTCATTGACTCGATTCCAATCGAATTACATTAGTAATTCGCCAAAAACAAACAAACCCAAAGTTATAATGAAATTGAAAACCACATTTCATGGCTCGATTCCAATCGAATTAGACTAGCAATTCGCCAAAAACGAACAAACCCGAAGTCATCGTGAAATTGAAAACCACATTTCATTGGCTCGATTCCAATCGAATTAGATTAGCAATTCACCAAAAATGAACAAACCCAAAGTTATCATGAAATCAAAAACCACTTTTCATTGGCTCGATTCCAATTGAATTAGACTAGCAATTCGCCAAAATGGACAAACCCGAAGTTTTCATGAAATCAAAACCCACTTTTCATTCGCTCCATTCCAATCGAATTAGACTAGCACTTCTCCAAAAACGAACAAACCTGAAGTTATCTTGAAATCAAAAACCACTTTTCATACGTTCGATTCCAATCAAATTAGACTAGCCATTCGCCAAAAATGAACAAACCCGAAGTTATCATGAAATCAAAAACCACTTTTCATTTGTTCGATTCCAATCGAATTTGACTAGCAATTCGCTAAAAACCAACAAACCCAAAGTTATGATGAAATCGAAAACCACATTTCATCGGCTCGATTCCAATGGAATTAGACTAGCTATTCACGAAAAATGAACAAACCCGAAGTTATTATGAAATCAAAAGCCACATTTCAATGGCTTGATTACAATCCAATTAGACTAGCAATTCACAAAAAATGAGCAAACCCGAATTTATCATGAAATCAAAGCCCACTATTCACTGGCTCGATTCCAATCGGATTAAACTTGCTATTCGCTAAAAACGAACAAACCCGAAGTTATCATGAAATCGAAAACCACATTTCATTAGCTCGATTCCAATCGAATTAGACTAGCAATTCCTCAAAAAATGAACAAACACCAAGTTATCATGAAATCAAAAGTCACTTATCATTGGCTCGATTCTAATAGAATTTGTAACGCCCCGAATTCTTTAGCAACCCGGAACGTTACCAAACGTGAATTGATTGATAAAGTGCTTGAGGCAAATACATTTTAATATAATGAGGAATTCAGTAAAAATTGAACAACCTTAACAAAAGGTAAATTAAATTAAATAACATATGCGGAACAATTTGGAATCATATCTTTTATCAAACATTAATAAAAGTAGTTCTAACAAATAATAAAATAGGACTAATTGAAAGTTATGACGTGACTCACAATTGAGTCTAAATATAAAAATAATAATAATCAACTGTTATTAAATATTCTAGTGTTTCTAAAAATTAAAGTACTTCATGAAGGAGATCCATTGGTCCAATATGCATCCATCCACCGCCGTCCAGCATACTAATTTCTACCTGAAAATTTTAAATAGAGAGGGATGAGTATAACGAATTATACTCAATGAGATGCTTGCTACTCCACATTCAAATCAAACGTGAAATTATGCATAAATTCTCTTACCAACATAACATGAGAATTATCACACCATGACAAATGATAATTCAAGCAAGCGCTGCAAATAACGTGAAGGCTAAATTGTGCCTTAAACTGTATCATGATTTCTCCCAAAGGAGCTCTGAACTGAAGTAATTAAATCCATACATAACAACGTATTTGAAAAAATGTGGACAAACCACTAATAGCACTGAGCATCTCACCTTACGTAATGAATTGTGTGGAGCAAAATTGCAGGGAAACGAGATTCTTGATTGTATATTCAAAGATTTAATGTTTTCTTTCTCTTCTTTGCAAAAATAAATATTTTATAGAGGAATAGAGACAGATCAAATCTAAAGAATTACTGGGATGAATAATGATATGAGATAATAACGCGTCTCACCTCTATTTATAATGAATTAACCGAAGAGTTTTGTAGAAATTAATCACTTCATTTAGACCGTATTTAATCAAACTATATCAAACAAACTTTGAATTTATCTCGATTGTCATGCCATACTTATCTACACACGTGACTGCCTAAACACTGGCCTAGTAAAGATGGAGTTTTTATATGAATTAGTGATTGACTTTGGATGGGAATAATATTAAATTAGTTATAATATCATTAAAATAAATGAAAGGGTTTGTTTACTATTTAAATTAAACTAGATAATCCATTAAATGACCATGCTCACATCCCACAAATTTATTTGATATTAAACTGATCGGTGGCTTCTTATTGTATTTTGCCAAGTTTCGTATCAACTGCAATTTCATCAAGGAAACGATAAAGAGGCATTATAATTGTATGACCTTTGCACACGTGGAAGGGTAAGACAAATCGGCCCCCTAATTGCATGGGCAATACATATTTTATTCTAATAAAACAACTTAAATAGATAAATAATTACTCTCTTGTCTTCGATTAAATCAAAATAATGGAAGAGTGTTTCAAATGAAATAACTTAACTAGTTTAATTAATTGAAGTCCTAATTATTTTAACACTAAAATTACTAGGAAACTTCATCATAATCCGAATCCTACATGATTAAGAACAATAGTTTCTATCCTAGTTAAAGTAGATTAGCATTATAAAGGAATTTAATAGTTTCTGGAAAATTATTATGATTAAGTTTTAATCAATTATCTTTAAATTTTATAATTATCAATACTTAACATATTTTATTCCTAATGGCCGAGAATTGCAAATTGTATGGATAGTAAATAAATTAGAATTTCATTTATACCTTGATTCTTCCATTGATTCCATCTTAATTCAACTTATCCAAAATATCATTTTCCTAATCCTAATATATATAATTAATTATTATCTATCAAAGGAGTCCAATATTGATATAGTAATTTAGCTCGAATTAATAACTAATATTATTAACTAAGTAGTTTTCTTAATTGGTTATAACTCGAGTTTAACTTGACCAAATTAAATTTTTCTTGAGTCCATAATTCGCCATTTATTACAAGCTTCAAAATGAGCCCAATATTGATAGGGTAATTCTAACTCCTTCAATAATTAACTATTTGGCCTATTTAATAAAGGTATAAAATCTGAAACTTATTTTCACTTTGGTCCCTCAACTATAAAGATATTCACATAGATCCAAATTAACTATAGAGATAACCAATTAACTTGTATAAGGACT